TGCTAAAGGAGAGACATACATTTATATTGTATAAAATAGGCATGCATATAAGTTTTATTCCTTATTGTGTACCAAACATAAATAAAGATATAAAAGAAAAAAATCATTTAGGATTTTCGTTAGAAATATTATTAAAATTAGATTTATCTATATTATCGTAGAATTAACAAGATGATCAATTAAGACAATAAATTCTTCATGAAGATGAGGTTATAATAAATAAGTAACATCAGAAACGTGTAGAACGACCTCAAAAATATAAAGGATGGTCATTTAATTCAATACTACGTAAGCATTTACGACGTAGATAAATGAAATGTTTAAACAGTATAATGTGTGAAAAATGGCGTAAAAATAAAAAAAATCCCAGACTTTGCATGGCTGGTACTAAAAAATATCGAAGATCGAGGGATTAGGATGGGTAAATCTTGGCTGTGGGTACCCCAAAGAACTTGTTCCAAGTATTTTTAACCCTACCGGCGCTGAACACCTAAGAACCTTCCCTTGTTAGAAATCGAGAATTCAGGCCAAGCATATTTAGAAGTACTGGAAGTTGCTCAAAAATGTGTGCACGCAAGTTCTGCGCGCAACTCGGCGAGTGAGCAGGCGGATGGTGGGAGGAGCGCTTGAGGCAGGGCCCGGACTCGGAGCGCTCATTCTTCCTCGAGACGGTCTCCTATACAGGCGGCGGCCGTAGCTCAGTGGTTAGGGTAGCGGATTCACGACCGAAAGGTTGGAGGTTCGCGCCCAGCTTCCAGCGGCATTCACCAATGGGTTTTCATATGAAAACTTAAGTGAGTATTTATACGGATTTCGCCCAACACTGTTCGGATTCAGTGTATAAACTTTGTAGGTCCCCTCACGCTGAGTTGCATAAGGCCCGTCTTGCAAGGTATAAATGATTACTATTGTCATCGCTATATTCTGAGGATATGCTAGTCGATGAGGATTCACCATTCATATTCAACTTCTGCGTGACGCAGTTCCTCTTCGGCCTTGGTCCGTTGACTTCTGGTATAATAAGATCTTGCTCTTCTATTTTACTCAAAGTCTGTAGATCTCTGTTCAAGATGGCTGTATACAAATCGTGCTGCAATTCAGTGATTGGAGTATAGACGATAACCTCTTTCTTTGGCGGAACTTCCAAACCCACGTCACTTTTAAGTCGACGCAACATGAATGGTTAGGGGGCGGCCGTAGCCCAGTTGATACGGTAGTGGATTCACGACCGAGAAAGGTTGGAGGTTCGCGCCCAGCTTCCAGCGGCATTCACTAATGGGTTTTCATATGAAAACTTAAGTGAGTATTTATACGGATTTCGCCCAACACTGTTCGGATTCGGTGTATAATCTTTGTAGGTCCCTCACGCTGAGTTGAATAAGGCCCGTCTCGCAAGGTACATCGCCATCTATTGTCGAACTTCCAACCTTGATTATTAGGACCAGTTACTGGCACATGTCCCCCATTGGGGATACAGCCATAAGGAAAGGAAAGAAGGAAGGAGGTGTCCTATACTGGTCTCTTGTTCTTCTCCACTTTTATAACTCTATTCTTTACTTTTCCACTTCTTCACTTCTTCATTTCTATATTCATTTCCTTCTTATTATCTTATTCTCACTTCTTTATTTCTATATCTACTCCCAACCTTCTTCTTCTTCTATATTTATTTCTTCTTTAATTCCTTATTTC